GACTGTAACCTGAACACAGCTGATTGTAACCTGAACACAGCTGACTGTAACCTGAACACAGCTGACTGTAACCTGAACACTGCTCACTGTAACCTAAACACAGCTGATTGTAACCAGAAAACAGCTGACTGTAACCTGAACACAGCTGACTTTAAACTGAACACAGCTGACAGTAACCTGAACACAGCTGACTTTAACCTGAACACAGCTGATTATAACCTGAACACAGCTGAATGCAACCTGAACACAGCTGAATGTAACCTGAACACAGCTGACTGTAACCTGAACACAGCTGACTGTAACCTGAACACAGCTGACTTTAACCTGAACACAGCTGATTGTAACCTGAACACAGCTGATTGTAACCTGAACACAGCTGACTTTAACCTGAACACAGCTGATTGTAACCTGAACACAGCTGAATTTAAACTGAACACAGCTGACTTCAACCTTAACACAGTGAAGACTGAGGTTTCCATGACCCTGAGGACTCCTCGTCCATTCCTCTCCACAGAGACCATTAACTCAGGAGGAGGAGGAGGAGGAGGAGGAGGGGGAGGAGCAGTGGTGAGCTGTCAATCAAAACTCTCTCATCCTGTTCCAGCATCAGCAGCTGCTGTTCTGAGACACATCTGTGTCACCTCCAGGTACCCTGGACCCAGAGGGCCCTCGACCCAGAGGACTCTGGACCCAGAGGACCCAGGTCCCAGAGGACCCTGGACCTTGGTCTGAAGACAGCTGCTGTTTGATTTGTTCGAACTGGAGCGACTCTTCCATCTGATGGATGTGGAGCTTCAGCTGCTGCTTCCTGTCAGAACCGCTGTGACCCGGTCCAGCCTGGTCCGACCCGGTCGTCTTCATTAACTCTGCTAATCAAAGCAAGTTCAGCAGGTCTTCAGCTGATGAGGAGGAGGTTAATGAGGAGCAGCCAATCAGGAGCCAACAAACACCTGAACAGCTGATCTGCTGTTTCCACACAGCCCAAACCTTTTCACAATAAAAGCCTCAGCTTTAGTTGACATTCAGATTCAGTTGAATTTAAATGTTTTAAACGAGTCTTTGAGTCAGGAAAAGGACCGGGACCTGCAGAGCTGAAGGATCCATGCTGTCAAACAAACAAACAAACAAACAAACAAACAAACAAACAAACAAACAAACAAACAAACATGGAGGAGGTACCAGCTGATCTCAAACATCTGAAGAAGTTTCTCTGAGATGATAAAGTTTTAGTTCCTCTCTGAGCTGTCTGTTGTTGTTGTTGTTGTTGTTGATGATGATGATGATGATGATGATGTCCTCCTGCTGATCTGCTTTAATGTGAGGTTAGACTCTGACAGCAGCTTCATGTTGTCTCTCTGCATCTTGTTGCTCCTGTCGTCCTCCTGACAGAACAAATGACCTCTTTTCTTCCTCCTCCTCCTCCTCCTCCTCCTCCTCCACATGTTTATACCCTGAGCAGGTTTAGACTGAAACAGAAGATAAATGATGCTGAAGAGGAACGATGAAGATGAGAACTTTCAGTTTCTGTCTGATCTGTTTTTGTTCAGATGATTTCAGCTTCTGTTGGTTTTATTTTCTGATGAAATGTAAAGAATGAGCTGAAGACTCACAGTTACTGAGAAATGTTTTATTATCACAAGTCAGTGTTTAACATCTTAACACAGTCATGTGACCTGACACCTGTCCAACACCTGTCTGACACCAGTCCAACACCTGTCTGACAACAGTCCAACACCTGTCCAACACCTGTCTGACACCTGTCCAACACCTGTCAGACACCTGTCTGACACCTGTCCAACAGATGTTAAACACCTGTCCAACACCTGTCAGACACCTGTCTGACACCTGTCCAACAGATGTTAAACACCTGTCAGACACCTGTCCAACCGATGTTCAACACCTGTCCAACACCTGTCTGACACCAGTCCAACACCTGTCTGACACCTGTCTGACACCTGTCTGACACCTGTCCAACAGATGTTCAACACCTGTCCAAAACCTGTCCAACAGATGTTCAACACCTGTCCAACACCTGTCAGACACCTGTCCAACAGATGTTCAACACCTGTCCAACACCTGTCTGACACC